TGATTTAAAGTATTTTAAATTTAAGTAACTTAAATTATTTAAAGCATTCTGAACTCATTTTCTATGAAAAGTATAAGTGTACGAAATTTATATTCCTCTGTTTGCACATTTTTTGTAAAAAGGGGTACTAAGTTTTTGCTTCACGAATTAATGTAATTATAATTGAACCTAGCTATACATTTTCAAGTAAGATACACACGCCACCTATTGTATCTATATTAATTGTTAATTATGCCAGTACAGGTGTTATACAATATAAATAAATTTTATATAAATAATGAAGTACAAACTGGTGAACATACGTACACTTTCGTGAAAGTATACGTATGATAAGTTTACCGAAAGTGCAGGCAAGAAATTTCAAATTTTAGGAAAAAAAATTATTGCAAACTGATAAGAGGTGTGTCAGACCATAAAAGACGATCAAGCAAACAAATTTTATATCGATTTTTATATATACAGGCAAATGCTCCGTTAAGTAAATAACTTTAATGCAAAATTCTTAAATTAAAATGAAATTTATTCAATGGATAATATAGTAATAAAAATATTTATTGGTTTCTAAAACAACATGACACAACGAACTTTGCAAACTTAGATCTTAATTATATGTTGGTATTTTACTATATATATATTAATGTGTAAATGTATGTATATTTATAGACATATAATATGACATATTTAATTATTACGTGCGCCACCTACCTTTTTTACTTTCTTTATCCACCCAAAGGTCGTCTGGAAGAGATTGCTTAGCGATAAGACCGCTTTTTGTATCAGTTAATGCATTTTTTTTGTTTTTTCTATATAGTATATAGTGCAATGAAGAAATTTAATAGAAATGAAACAAAATTGTAAACAATACGGCAATTAAACAAAAAATATGACCTACATAAGATTTCAGACATAAGATTTCTAGGCAGGGGGCTTTAATTAGGTTATGAATTGGGTCAGCTTGTTCGATAACTTATTAGATCTATTAATTTTAACACACATAACATATAAACCGTAGATATTGAACAAACAACATATGTGTGAATGTCAATTTCTTGGAAATGTTTCATTTACAGAAATGTACGAACTCACTAAACTTTATATTTTCGTGCTATTAGCGAATGAGTTATTTATATTATTTTTCAAATTATTCATATACATAATCCTTTGTTCATATTAAGTTGAACTCACTACAATGTTACTTTTTTTACGATGTTCGATGTTATTTTCAGTAATGAAATCTCCTTTATTCAATTCTTTCAGTAATTAATTTGACATAACGGTAGTCGAACAATGAACCTAAAACTAAAAACCTTAAAAATATAATATATTATAAAATAATATATTATAAAAATATAATTAAATATATTATTAAAAGGAGTCCCTTTAGGCAAGGTTTCGAAGACACTGGCAGCGTCCCCCCTTTGAAGTCCTAGACTAATTCTTTGTCCGACGTAGCTGCCAGCTCTTCGGTCTTCTGTGATATCGACTAACCTTTTTGCTATTTCCTTAAAAAGCCTTATAGCGCATGTATGACTCCATGGAGCAACGGTCTTGACACCGAATGGGATAAAATCATATTCGGAGACTAGACCCCTGTTACTTTGAATTTAGATAACATAATTTTTTTGTCACTATCTCTAAAATAACAAAAAAATACTGTAAAACAAAATCAGAAAGTACAATAGCTAAGTTAGGCTTATTTTTTTTTTATAAAGAAGGCTGAATAAACCCGTTTGTTAAATAACTCAGTCAACTTTCACCTATTTTACCCACCAACCAGATTGCTTTATAAGCCACTGCTGATCAGCCGCAACACTTTGCGGCTGATCAGTAAGACATAGGCTTATTTCGTTTTTTAATATAGAAGGCTTTGAGTAAACTCGACTGATTGGACGTATATTTAATTGAATGAACTTAGTTTCACCTGTTTAGGCCTTCAAGCTTTGTATGCTGTGTTTTAGCTGAAGGATGACATGTTACACCTCTGCAAGGTCAATACAGTACCTAATTAAAAATATATACACTCTTAAAAATTCCTAATATTTTCTTGTGTAGTAGAGGGATTTTGTTCTCTTCACCATGATTGAGTAGCATAAAATATAGCTTATATTGTTCTCTATCTGAAATGCTTAGTAGGATTATATAATACTGTACGTGCCCGCGGTTTCACCCGCATAAATGTAGCCAATGTGTTATTCTAATATATAAGCTATATTATTGTAAAGTTTTTTTTAAATCCATTCAGTTGTTTTTGCATGAAAGTGTAAGAAACATCCATGCATGCATCCATCCACACTCACGAACTTCCGCGTTCATAATATTAGTGAGATATGAACAATTTCAAAGTGATTGAAAGAAACTGTAAAGAAATAGCAATTTCATTTTCGCATTCATAATATTAGTATTTATAGAGTTGTATATGATGTAGCGTAGTGTTGCCAGAACAACTCTGTGAGTACAATAGAATGGTAAAAATCTTTATTCAAATATAAACTTTTCAAGCACTTTTGAATAGTATTATTAATAGTATTTTTTTTAAATCTCACTAGTATCAGTCAATAATGAGCAAGAACTTTATTGTCTATACTTCAGCTGTGTTGCTCTTTTAAATAAATGTTGTAACTTTACATTTTAAGACAAAAAATCTATAAATACATAGATACATTTTTTTGTAAATTAATAAATAATATATATAGTAATGAGATATAATTACTGGTCTTTTCATTAAAAAAATTAAGTGTAAACAAGACCGCCCTAATAACACACTCATGACACCTAATAGTATTTACGTGTTTGTGAGTTTATGCTGGAATTAGATGAGGTGAGTCACACCAGTCAGTGTGTTAGGCCTGATTTCCACTAGCCGAGCAATGTTATAAACTATACTAGTTATACTATATTAACTATATTACTATACTAACTATTATACTATAAAAGAGAGAAAGAATTTTATATGTTTGTGTAGGTCCGGGGAGACGAAATTATAAATTTTCTGATCTGTAAGAGTAAGGCGGTGTGAACAGCTAGACCACCGACTAGCAGTCTATATATAAATATACACTAAGATAATAAATATATTTCTTTTTTTTAATAAAACTTATAAATTTACGTATAATGCAATTTCTCAGGCTCTGTGATCTAGCGGTTTGGCACATCGCTTTAATTTCGATGGTCGCGGCTTCGATTCCTCGCACGGTACAAACATTTGTATTCATAAGTATGACTGTTTCTAACGGTCTGCGTGTTTTCCAGATAATTCCAAAAAAAAATGTATATACCACATGTAACTTTTTAAATCTACCAATGTCATTATTTTTTCAGTGTAAATCCGCAAGCAAAAATTTGCTAAGGGTACGGTCACTGATAGGATTATTTCCTTTTGACAAAAATGCAATAACATATGTTGGTAGTAGTTACATTTTCCCTAATTGAATTTAAAAACGAATGTGTATTTTTAATTTATTAGATCCTTATGGCAAAAATGCAATAGCATATGCAGGTGGTCACTACATTCTCCCTAATTTAATGAAATATTTTTTATATATAAGTATTTGTATCAGATGTTTAGTACCCATAACACAAGATCTGTATATTGAACTGGACGGTAGGAAAAAATATTATATAAAAAATTTTTTGACGTTCATAAGTGGCTAAAATGTCCTACATGAATAAATGATTTTTGAATTTGAATTTGAATTCAATCTAGATGGCGCTGTGTGAATTGTCAAAATTAGAAAAATATGTTGTGAGACTTCATCAACGATCTTAAGCGAGCAGATGGCGATCTAAATGATGATATATGATGCTAAATGTCTTCACTGATGATCATCAGTGTCATGAGTTTACACATAGTATATATTCAGTTGCGAGCGCCGGCAAATACGATTTGTCAATGTTCCTAGTTTACAAATGAGTACAGTGTCATCATACACAACGGGCCATTAGCGATAAATCTGGACCGAATAGTTAGAGAGCTACACTAAAAAACATGATCAACCGAATTTATTGTGAACTAGCCATTCACCCCGGCTTCGCACGGGTGTACATATGTTATACATATAAACCTTCCTCTAGAATCACTCTATCTCACTATATGCTCTTATTAAATTGTCTTCTTTATTTTATTATGTTAAGCTTCTTATTTTTTCCCTCATAACCGTTTACAGTTCAAATTCATAATCTATGATTTATCTAGGATCAGTACAAACTAAAACTTAGTTAATCTATTTTGGCCAGGTCTCGTATAACCATTTTACGGATCGTAATGTATAATCATTTCATTAGTTCAAAGCTAAAATCAGAGTGATACTATTGATCAATATAATACATTAACCCTTGTGGAAATTTATGTTAATGTATTTTTGAATTAATATCGATATTAATTCAGAAATAAATTGTGAGGACTGGTCTGTTCGGGTTACGAACACTGATTACACTATTTGTTTTTGACAAAATTGCAGTAGCATGTACTCGTGATCACTCAGTTCTCCCAAATTTGAATTTAAAAATTAATTTGTATTATTCTAAACAATATTTGAAAAGAATATGAGTTGAGTTTCTTGTCTCTTCTTCTCATCTCGAAAGCACTCCTATTTTTTTTTAAGGGTTGTTTGGGCTATTGTCAGATGTTTGTAGCACCTGTAGCACTGCGACCTACATAGATCTATTGTGCTCTCCTAACTGACGGTAGATTTGACATATCATAAGAGTCATTAATACATGAATACAGTTTATTGATTTGATTTGATAGAATAATAATAATAACTTAATTAAGGTTTTTATCAGTGATGTTAGGGAGTGCCGTAACCGTAACCGAAACTATCGGATATCCGATATGAAAAAATATCCATAACCGTAACCGAAATTATCCGAAACTAACAGATAATCCGAAATATTTTCATATCCGTATCCGTATCTGGTATAATAATCGTGCCTATATCCGAAACCTATCCGTGTCCGAAATTTCATAACATTCCTGGTTTTTATAAATATATATTAGGGTGTCCCTTATTTTTCAAAGTTTTTATTTTTTAATGCATAGGTCTTAGTTTTGTTCATATGTTCCTAAAACACTCGAAAATACATTTTTATATAATTTGGAGAACGATAACCCGTGCCGACTTGCATCGAAACATGTTCATACAAGTAATGCCGAACTAGTGGCGTGCACCCATCGTATTTGCCATTTGTTCACAGTAACTCTCGTCATTAACATATTGTTTTTATGTTTAAAAAAATGGCAGTGGAATTAAAAAGCAATAAAAAAAGTATTTTCTTAGTTGGTGACGTGAACCATCAAATTACTGGAGCAAAGTTACCGTCTACCGTCGTCACGTTCTTGCAGTCCTCTTTTTTAACATTCGCGAAGTTAAATTGACTATTAATGTAAGCGCAAATCTTGCCGTTCGAGAGTGTATTATATTCTGGGAAAAAGCTAGAATCCCTACCAGACCTGTACAAAACTGTGTAAAAAAACTCGTCGATCTTCATCGTGCTTGGAGAGTTACAAAAAAATTCAAAAAAAAAAACGCCAGCTGTTTACAAGCGCCGTGAGGAAGGACTTTCAAAATAATTTAGATAATTTATTCGATATAGCACACGCAAATGCTTTGGACTGGATAAAAATAGAAGAAGATAAAATATTTTTACAAAGAGAACCAGGGCGTCTAGGATGTTTAGCGGGAGTAGATAAAAAGTTAGCCGAGAAAGAAAAAAGAATAAGATAGAGAAAATTAAAAGAAGAGAAAAAAAGACAAGATGTTCCAAAAGTTTATCGTCATCTTTAACTACACAAGATTTTATAGAAACGCAAGAAAATCCCAATCCCAATACCAGCTCTGACGAAAGCCTGAACGAACCCTTGCCATCAACATCTCAAATGGTAAGTTCTGTAACTACTTCAAAAAGAGGAAGGAAAGATTTCGTCACTCCTAAGTTAGTTGCCACTTTAGATAGATGTCAATTAGCATAAGGGACTCTGTTTTTAAAAATACTTCAGGCTGTAGTAGAAGCCCTAGATCTCAGCTGTGATGAGTTCCCGATAAATAAATCGTCAAAGAAAAATATTAAAATGAGACTTTCTGGAGCAATGCATCAAGCTAGGTGGATGGCTAGAACCATTTACTCTTTGAAAATATGTTTGTTGCAATCTCAATTCAAAATTAGCGCCAAGGATAAAAGAGCCCTTCAAGATATTTGTTTATTCATTGCAGTTATATATGTAAAACCATGGATTGGATGTAGTCTGACAGTCAAGGCCCCAAATCAAACTTTGCGCTTTTTAAAAAGTCTTAAGGAATATGAAACTGTTAATAAAGAGATCTCCAAAGCTGCCCTGAGCAAGTTTAGTCAACATCTTTGGTACTTGTCAGAAGAAATAGCTGTTTTATCACTCTTTGATGATGAAGTAGATGAACAAACTAAGACGAATATTGTAGCGAACTTACAAAGAGATAGTTTGTATGATTCTGTAAAAAGATACATTCCATCGAAAGAAGATATGTCTGATTATTTGTATGGTAAGTAGAAATATATAACATTTATTTTAGTATGTTTTTTTATTGTTACACATTGTAATTTAATTCGGTTTTATCGCGTTTATCATATTTTTATATTTGGTTGGTCTAGACCTGACCTGACTGATAAATGTAATAAAAAAAACCGTATTAAGTTATTTAATTTAAAAATTAAAATAGTTTTATATCTTATATCCATCTTAATAAACTGATAATAATACATCTTGCATTTTGTTGCAGGAAAATCATTAAATGATTTTGTGTCTGTCAAGAGCACAAATTTATTTGTTCGTTTAAATATGGATACAGACTTCTTAAAGAAAACCGTTTCTGCATGGGACGAAGATGTAACCTATTTACAGGCTAAAACAAGAGTTCTTTCTTTAAGGGCCGTGAATGATACAGCTAAAAGAGCTGTAAAACTTATGCAAGATTTCCATGGCTTAGTCACTGCAAAAGAATATCAAAAACAGTTTTTGCTGCGTACAAGAGTTTTCTGTGTACAAGAGCATAGAAATCTGTATCCAGACTGTAAAAAAGAGATCCTTAAAAGAAAATATTTGTGATGTTCATTTGATTAATAAATACTATATTCTAACTTTCTCTTTGATTATTATTATTAAACATTTTATTTCATTTTATTACACATATACAAAGATAAGCGTTAAAGACAACGATTTTTAAAATCTTCAAGGCTCTGTCGGTACGGGTTAATGTTGACATATAAAGATAAAATTTTGTATTTGATTAAGTTTAGGTAGTTTAAAAAGAATTAAGGGGTATGCATTTCGATATCTGAAAAAAAAATTTTTTCACCCATATAAGGGACACCCTAATATATATATATTGTATAGTCAAATACTTACTATGATTAATGAATAAAAAACGAATTCCTAAAAATCTTTAGTTTTCCAGTTTCCACCAGTTTCAGAGATCCGAATAAACAAATATTACTCTCCCTCCTGTGACAGTCTGGTAAAAAGGGGACCGACGCGTATACATGTTATAATTAGAGCTGTCCAGCGTGGGTTTATGTCCTAATTTTCAAACTTTCAACACCAATTTTTTTTAACATATTTACAAGACAATGATAAATGAGCTAAGAGTACGTTGATACCAACAACGCTATTTACTTTTATAGGTTTCTTAGCAAAAAATGATAACTTGAAACCTTACAATTATAATAGCAGTTATCTGTGATAATAGTAACCTTGGATAGTTCACCCAGCGCCATCTAGTCCTTTTTTTTTTTTTTCACGTCAGGAAAATCCATCATGGAGAACCATCCGCTTAGGGACGAATGGATACTGCCGGACTCCTACCTGCTAAAAACCTGACGACTGTTCCTCCTCGACATAATCGCCGTGGCCATGGGATACGCAAGGATTCACCAAGACCACCGGCATGGTTCCCCATGACTCCCCCCCCCCCCACCTGTGGACCGTGCCGCGGCTCGGGCCTTCGGGGGGCGACACAAGTTAGTGACGCCCACTCTATGGTCGGATTTCCGCGGCACAGTACCGATACTTCGGTGATAGCGCCATCTAGTCCTAAGCTAAGCAGAGCTTGTGTTATATACATTGTTGTATGTTTTGAACTCGATAATAATAAATAATACGGTGGAGAAAGGAAATGAGGACTAATAATTCTATTGCTAGCAATGTACCTTGTCAGATTGACCTCCACGCGGTACCCCTGAAATCTACCATGACAAATTCTTGGAGAATTTGTCAAGATGGGCTAACTGACCTGGCCTCATATTCATCTCATCATCAACCGTTAGAGCATGCGGGTGCACCATTCCATTGTCATCCATAAAAAAAAACGTAGTATGATCTTAAAGAAGGATTCTTTAAGATCATACTACGTTTTTTTAGACCCTAATTAGATAATTTTCTTAATATTACCTATGTTTCAGTAACATACTGAACTGACTACGCATATTTCGTAGAGAATTCAAACAATCAATTTCAAATTGTTAATTGCTTTAGAATATAAAATAAAGACTGAAAGTCTTACAAAACGATTTGGCACTTGATTAGTTGGGTCAATTCATCAATTTATTTATTTATTTATTTATAACTCTTTATTGCACCTTAAAAACAACCCAAAGAAAAAACAATATTTATAATGTACAGAAAGGTAGGCTAGGCACAAAAGGCGGTCTTATCGCTAAAGCGATTTCTTCCAGACAACCTTTGGGTAGAGGAGAAAAGACAGAAGGTGGTGGATGGCGCAAGATAGATTATATATAAATTAAAAAAGTTAATTAGTAATAATACACAGTAACTAAGCAATGTGCAAATAAGAAAGAGATAATTTAGTAGAAAGGTTTAGTAAAAAGTATAGTAGAAAGACAATTTAATGAGAGAGATAGTGTGATTTTACAGCATTTTTAAAAATAGCTAATGATTGAGCGCTACGTATGGAGGATGGTAGTGAGTTCCACAGTCGCACGGCGTACACAGCGAAAGAATTGGTGTAGAAGGAGGAAGTATGGGAAGGAGTTTTAAGACATAGGTTTGTTGCACTGCGTAAGCCATGATTTTGTGCCTCACCGAGAAATACAAATTTTTCTTTGAGATAATAAGGAGTTGCAGGGTTAAAAAGAATTGAATAAAGAAGAGAGAGGATATGCCAGTCCCGGCGTAGACGTATAGGGAATCAATGTGTTGCGTTCAACCAGTCATCCAACTTCCGACGGCTGCGGTGGTCTATCGGTTTAGCACGCAGCGCCGCTTTACTTCCGATGGTCGCAATGTGGTACAAACATTTGTATTCATGAGTATGATGGTGTGGTTTGTATGACTGGCTGTTTTCTATATATATATATATATTATATGCTCACGGTCTACGCTGGCAGGGCAGGTGCCCCGTGGAGGATGATGCCATGAACATAAAGTAATGTCAAATAGCACATCTTGGTAAATGGCAATTTACTACGATGGTTTCCAGGGAGAACTGCGTAAAGGTAAAAAAAAAAATGTATCACAGTTTCAAGCAAAAAATGTTCGAAATATAAAATATTATAAAAAAAAAAAAAAATCAACTAATCATATAATTTTATGAGCTGCCAGTACGTCAAATTAAAATATCATTCATTCATGTAGGTCATGCCAGATTCTTATACAGCTTATTTTTTTTTATACAACTGAAATAGGGTCGCTTTCCAGTTTGTTGCTTGTTGAGTTTACCGTTGGTCGTGTGATCCTCTGTGAGACTCCGGTTCGCCGTCGAGTCTCCAGAGTGAGCCCCGCAACTGGTGCCCACTTGCGCAAATTGTTGAGAGCGATACAGTGCGTAATCCAACTACACAAAGTGTACTTTGTTTAGCAAGAGAGAACGCGCTAGGATTGTAGACCGAATTTGTTGACGCAAATTCGTTGCTGCAATCCACTTGCGACTGTCTTACAGTGTGATCACTTGCCCTTTCAGGGCGGAATTCCCTATCTTTCGGTAGGTTCGTCGTGGGGTTCCAGCCCCCACATCACCCTCTTCCACCCCTCCAGTCCCCTTTCGTGTCGTGATGTCGCAAAGGGGCAAAGCCCCCAGGAAACCTCCTGACAGGGAGCTCCCCGAACTGTTGTGCGTCGGGATTTAAGGAACCCGACCAAGCTGGTCCCCGCCACTGAGCTGGGGACCTTCCACGCTCGCCCGGCATCCAAGGGCACCCCCTCTGCCCTCGCGGGAAGCGGCAATGATGCCGCCGACCGGGAACCAGGCAGAGGGGAAAGATGCGCACAACCTGGCCCATCTAAAAGACGCGCACCGCCGTCGCCGACCTCGCCCGCTAGAGGCGACAAACGGAGGGACGTAGAGGAGTCCCCCCCCCGCGACCTTGACCTAGTGAAGGTGCCGCCGACGCCGAGAATCCGGCTTGTGGACAAGGGCTACCAACCCCTACCGTCCCAGTCGGGTACCGTGCGGCGAAAGCCTTCACCCCCTCCGCGCTCACCCTCCCCCCCGCCGGATAGCGGGAGCGAGGAGGAAGGGGAAGACAGGCGTTTTTACGGCGACGTACATGCGTCGCCTGCGACCGCGCCGGAGCCTTCGCCAGCACCCGCGCGTGTGCCCTCGCCGCTACCTCGCTCCTATACGCTAGATAGGGGCGAGTTGACGCCACGGCATGCGGCACTCGAATCGGTGCCACAATCGCCCGAGCCGATGCTCCCCCCCCTCCCCACCCCCCGACGACGAACCCCGCCGTCCTTGCGGGAGTGGCGCCCCGCCACCCCAACCCCCGCCACCACGGCTCCAGCCCCGCAAATGCCCTCACAGGGTAAGATCGCCGACACGGGCGTAGAACCCGCCACAGGGCGAGGCAAATACCCCCCAATAGTGGTAGAACGCCTCCCTAACTGGACGCGCCACTTCGACCAGCTCAGGCGCGTACTGGGGGAGGCACCCAACGCAAGACCCTAACTGGGGTTAGATTCCTGCCTAGGACGGACGAAGAATTCCGTGCCGTCCAAAGGTATTTGATAGAGGCCAGCGAAAAGGACCCAACAATAAGTTGGTAGTCTGGCCTCCGAACTGCCCACCAAGGTGGCGATACGGGGCCTCCCGCCGACACTCCCAATGAGAGGATAGTGGAGGCACTGCAGGAGAAGGGTTCGGAGTGCGGCTAGTGCGGGGCATACCTGCGCGTCGCGGCCGCCCCGGCTGCATTTTCCACGCCCAACTCGACCCCATGGACAAGGACGAGCTCACACGCTTATACGCGACTGACGAGCTCCTGTACATGCGGGGCGTCGTCGTTGAGGCGTGGAAGCCGGCATCGGTGCTGCCACAATGCCACAGATGCCAGGCATTCGGCCATGCATCGGCCAACTGTCACCGGCCTGTAAAATGCGTTCGCTGTGGTGGGGAGCACCCGGCGGCGAACTGCGACAGGCCGCGTGACCAAAAGCCGACATGTGCCAACTGCGCAAAACCTCACACCGCCAACGACCGGAAGTGCCCGGTGTATAAAAGAGAGGCCCGGCAGAGGGGAATCAAGCCCCGTCCCCCGTCCCCACTGCGTCGTCGACGGCGCCCAAGGCGCAGCAACGGCGGCGCAATAATCCCACCGCGGCGCCTCGTACATACGTCGCCCAGGCTCCCCCTCCCGTAATAACGGTCGAGGAAACCGCTGGCGCCAACCTAATGGCGCCGGCTAACGAACCGACGCAACGAGGCGCCGACGCCGGTGCGCGCCGCCGCCGAAGACGCGGCAAGAAGAGGCGCGGAGATGAGCCCGTGACGGCATCAACCCCAATCCCCTTCCTACCTGATCCCACCCCAATATTTGCGTACAACGCACCCCCCTCCCGTCCCATGCATGCCGTCCCAAATCAGGGCCCGCGTGCAGCGCCACGTCGCCGCCAGGCGGCGCCACCGGCACACAATGTGCCGAGAGTGGCATTCAAGCCGCTTTTGGCGGACGTAAGACGCGCACCTCCCGCGCCTCCCACATACACCGCATACCCCGCGCCGCGTTCGGCACACGCCGCGCCCGCGCCCTTCACACAAGCGCCCGTCGACAGAGCACTGAACATGCTTATTAGTCTGTTGACGGAGCTGCTAACAACACTTGCGGCCGGCGCAGATACTAAGTCGGCGGCATTAAATGGATTGGCCAAAATCCAACAGTACACAAATGGCGGGTACTAGCCTGCGCATTGTGTACTGGAACCCCGGGGGAATAAAGGATAAAGTCCAGGACCTCCGTCTCCTAGCTCGCACCCAGGATGTGCACATCATACTCCTGGGTGAAACGAAGCTCACAGAAAAGGAGACGTTGAGGGTGCCTAACTACCACGTGTATAGACGCGACGAAACGTCACCGGCGGGCATTGCGTACCGCGGTACGGCGGTACTAGTCCGTCGAGACGTAGTCCACGTGGAGTTAGAGCGCCCCGAGTTCCGCGTCATGCGCTCCATAGGAGTCAGCATCAACGTCGACGGCGCGGAACTGAAGGTCCTGGCAGCTTACCGTCCCCCGGGACTGGAATTCAGCCCCTCCGATGTCCGGAACGTTCTGGATGGGAGGAGTCCCACCCTGCTTATGGGCGACCTAAACGCGAAGCACACGGCTTGGGGTTCCCGTCTGTGCTCGCCGATAGGTCGAAGACTCCTCCAGGATTCGCAGATCCACGGGTACGAGGTGTTGGGCCCAGCGCACCCAACCCACGTACCCTCAAATCCCACACATAGCCCAGACGTTCTGGACATTGCCCTAGAGCAGGCTGTGCCTTGCCCGGTCTTACTGGAGGTGCTGTACGACCTTGACACGCAGCACCTCCCAGTTCTAGCCACGCTTGACCTCTCCACCACCACCACACCGACGAGACCGTCGAGGCGGCGGATGGATTGGCGTGTTTTTCGCGCAGAATTGGAGCATCTACACCACGACGGCGAACTATCATCGCCAGCGGGTGTCGAAGCCGCCTCCACACTCATAACGGAGCGAATCCGCACCGCAGTGGAGGCGGCAACTACCACAATAAACGTGGCTTCTCGCCGTCGAGAGGAATTGCCACACCATCTGCGCGAAAAACTCGCCCGGAAAAAGAATCTCCGTCGCCTATGGGCCCGAACCCGTTGCCCGCGGGTCAAGCGTGAGCTCAACTGCTTGGCTGCAGAGCTGTCGGAGGGAGTGCGGGATTGGCGTGGGGCCGCCTGGGATGGTGTCATATCCCGGGCCGGCGAACACGAAACCAACCTGCACCAACTCAATCGACAGCTCACCAATGCACGACCCCCCGTCTGCCCGTTGCTTGACGAGACGGGCAGACGTCGTTACGCAGCCCAAGACCGGGCAGAAATCCTGGCACAGCACTTGGAGGGGCAATTCACGGCCAATCCAATCGCCGCCGACGCACCCAGCACTGTCGTCGAGCACCACGAGCGAGTCGTACGTCGCGTATGTGAATTCCGTACCGCTCCGTCGCCGGACGTAACCGAAGTGAGCTTCGTTTCGCCCGGCGAGGTAAGGCGGCTCGTCAGCCGCCTGCCGAAGCGCAAAGCGCCCGGAGCGGACGGGATCAGCACCGCAGCGCTCGCACGGCTGCCCCGTAGAGCCCTAGCGTGTCTAGCGAGGCTCTACAACGGCATACTCCGGACCGGCCACTTCCCTACCAACTGGAAGTTGGGTCGAGTCATAGTCCTCCCGAAACCCGGCAAGGACAAGCGCCTGCCGGCAAGCTACCGGCCCATCACTCTGCTCTCGCACGTAGCAAAGTCGTTCGAGCGCCTCCTGCTCCGCCGCCTGAGACCGACTCTGTCGCCTCGCGACGAGCAGTTCGGTTTCAGAGGCGGACACTCGACGACTTTGCAGCTGACGCGCGTGCTCCACCCCATGGCTGTCGAGCACAACCGCGGCCACTACACGGTCGGCGTATTTCTCGACATAGAGAAGGCGTTCGACCGTGTGTGGCACGACGGTTTGGTGTCAAAGCTGCTCGACACCAACACGCCGTCAGCATACGTGCGAGTAGTGGACTCGTTCCTCTCGGGCCGGAGCTTCTATGTTTCGGTCGAGAACTGTGACTCTACCACACGCCCAATTGCCGCCGGAGTCCCGCAGGGCAGCTGCATTTCGCCAGCGCTCTACGCGACGTACACAGACGACATCCCCACCTTGAGGGATGAGCTCCGAGAGGGAGAGAGGGATGTCGTCCTCGCTCTGTTTGCCGACGACAGTGCCTTTCTTACGTCGCCTCGCCGAGCCTACGCAGCCGCTCGCAAAATGCAGCGGCTGTTGGACCTGCTCCCCGAGTGGCTGGATAAGTGGCGTACCACCGTTAACGTGGGTAAAACGGTGGCGCTGCTTACCCGCCCCGGGTGCAAATACCCGCCGCCCCTCTTACTGAGAGGCCAGCCCATGCAGTGGGAACGCACAGTGCGTTACCTAGGGGTAGAAATCGACCGGTCGCTGCGTATGAAGCCGCAGGTGAACCGGGCTGTCACCCAAGCCAAGGCCGCGCGCGCTATGCTGCGACCGGTCTTACAATCCAGGCTGCAGCTGCGGACGAAAGTAGGCATTTATAAGACCTACATTCGTTCGCGGCTCACATATGCCGCCCCCGCATGGTACGCACTGTGCTCGGCCTCACAGCGGCGGAGACTGCAGGTCCAACAGAACGCCGCCCTCCGTCTGTGCACAAATGCCGGACGGTACGTCCGTAATGACGTGATCGCCCGCGACCTCAAGGTCCCATCGGTGGAGCAGTTCGTCGTCCGGTTGACGCGCGCGATGTTCTCGCGCGCGGACAGCGGGCGCGAAGCGCACCTGCGCGACCTCGCCCCTCTCCACGCGCGCCCACCGGACGCCACTCGCGCGCTCCCGCGCGACCTACTCTCCACCGAGTGATCACGTCATTCACGTGACGTGGCGGCGTTAAGCCGGCTCGGCGAGCGAAAGAATGATTCCTGCCACACAACGCCCACAGGCGGCTGCTGAGAAGCAGCCGCCCTCCGGCCGGCCGGCAGGTCGGCTGGTAAAAGAACGACGCTGGGGTGGTTCACCCCAGCAGAATGCCCGGGCAAGGAGCGCAAGCTCGGGGCCCGTACCCAGCGGTCCAGTTAGGACCAGCGGACGACCCAATAATAATTCTCATTCATTAAATTACAATAAGTAGGTATTTATTTTTTTTATTGAGGAACTTTGTCACTAATGTCTTTAATTGCTATAATTACCAGGGTTACCGCGTGGAGGTTGATATAATAGAGTACACTTGTATCAGATCAATCTAATTAATAATTCCCTCTTCAAGTTTCGAAATTATGAGCGATCAGATAAATATATAGTACTTGCATACCTGTCAAAATCTCTCTATTTTGCCGTCGTCGAGTAAAAATTATGCATTGCAATTCATTCCACAAATAAGAGTATAATACAAAATGATGAAATTTTACTGTTTGCAAAGACTAATTAAAAGCACCATCGAATAATGCGCTGTAATATCCTGTTATCGATTATTCGAAAAAATCGACAAATCTATGCATTTATTTTTAATATGGCAACACTTTCTAAATAAGTATTACTAGAATAATATTGTTTTCTTGTTCAGCTGTTTTATATTTACTGAAATTTTTTTATGTTTAATTTATCATAATAATATAGTAAGTACTTATTATTTGAAAATATAAATTAAACATTTAAAATACGGAGCGTTGTGGTGATGGGATGTCAGGGAAATTCTAGGTGAGGGAGCAAAGTTTTAGACGGAACTTATGATTTTTCGGACTTAGACCGAAATTTAGAATGAAAATTGACCGAAATCCTACATAGGTTTTACGCTACTAGACGGGGGATACTGTAGGCACCCTAGGACAATAAAAGTCTTGTGTGAAAACTGAAGATAGTATGAAAGAACGACGGCTGAAACCGAAATTTGTATATTTTTTAAAATTTTCAGTCTAAATTACTGATTTCAGAA